CCCAGCTCTCCCGCTACACCTCTCCTACCCCAACCAGCCCAGGCCACCCTATGGGCTCTCTCTCTGTCTCTGTCTCTCTTCTTTCCTCCTCATTTGGTTCTTGGGTAGGGCCTTTGCACTGATACCTCACCAGCCCTTTCTTATTTTTCATTTTGAGACAGGTTCTCACTAAGTTGCTAAGTTGCCTAGGCTGGGTTTGAATTTCCAATCATCCTGCCTCAGCCTCCCAGAGTGCAGACCCAATACACTTTGTCCTTCCCTCCTGCCTTTATATGAGTGGCTCTGTCTGGAAGGCTTTTCCCTGTTGTCTGCTGTCACCCTCCACAACGTGGGTCAGCACTATATCCTCCAGGGAGCCTCCCTACCTGCCAGGTCGGTCCTCTCTTCCTGAGTCTTCCCTGTATGGGGAAAGCGATCCCACTTTCTGCAGCCAGCCCTGGGAACCTGAGTCTCAGCCTTGCCTCGCCCTTCCTGGGTCACCTTGGGCAAGTCCTTGATCCCTTCTGAGTTTCAGCTTCTTTCTGCTTTTTCTGCTGGAAGGGGTCCCAGCTGCAATTTCCTGGCTCCTGCATTAGTGAGAGAATCAGACAGGCTGGAACAAGAGGCTGGGGTAAAAAGCAAGCACCCTGGACAGCACAGGCATGGGTTTGAATTCCACTTCCCTTGCTCACCAGCTGTGTGATCTTGGGCCGGGCATCTCCTCTCTCCCAGTGGACAGTTCCCCACCTGCAAGGCAGAAACCCTATAGGAGGTTGAAGGAATGGATAGCATTGTGGCCTGGAAGCACTTAACACAGCACCGGCCCTGGGAAAGGTCTCTGCGATAGATGCACGGGGCTAGGGAGGGATTGGTAAATTCTGCAGTTCTGTGAGTGGGGGTGGTGGGGCGGTCTCAAGATCGCGCGTGGCTTGCACAGACCTGGAGAGGAGAAGGGGGCTTCTCTTGCTCTTCTTTTTGCTCATCGGCAGCTGGGGCTGGCAGGCTCAGAGCCCACCTAGCCCAGGCCCTGCTCACGGGGACTGGGGTCTGTGGGGCTCAGGTGGCCTCGGGACTGCTAAGAGCCCCAGGAGCAGGTGGAAGGAATCCACGCCTGCAGATGCAGCTCTGGGCCCCGCCGCGCCCCTCCTGCTGGAGCTGGGCTGCTGTACCCAGCCGTGCAGAGAGGCTTGGCACCTGGGTGCTGGGCCAGGGGCCCTGGAGCCTGGAGCAGCTGCACTAATTCATGCAAAGGAAGGCGCCCAGGTTTGCCCTGTCTATTTATAGCTTATTTATGAAGAAGGAAAAACAAGGGCCCTGTTGCCATAGCAACCAGGAGCATCTTGGGCAGCTTTGCCTGCAATGGGAAGATGGCCAAGTCTGCTTGTGTGAGGCACCCTGGCTGGTGTGCACCCTGGCTGTGAGCTGGAGGCCGGAGAGGGTCCTCTAGGGATTGTCCCCCCGGGTTCTCGGCAGCCTGTACATTGGGTGGGGTGGGGGCTGCAGCTTGCTGGTTCTGTGGAAAATCCAGTGTGATGCTGGGACCATGCACACCTGCCTTCTGTGTGGGATGCACTCCTGGTCTCCTGCTTTTGGCGCTAGCTCCCGTTCTCTGAGTGCCCACCTGCTGCCCTGGGCAGATGTGGAGCCCGTCACCCAGCTGTGCTCTGGAATGTGTCCTTCAGGATGCTGAGCATAGCACACTGGAGCTACAGTCCCCACACCAATGCTTTTACAGCTGAGATCTAGCTTGAAGCCGGCAGGAAACCTAGTACCTGGGAAAGAAGAACTTAATAAATACTGCATGAGTGAATGAATGAATGAGAGGGTGAAGTGTGTTACAATTTACACTGCACACACTCACTCAATGTGTAAGCACTGTAATGTTCTAGCACTTTAAAATGAGGAAACTGAAGTTCAGAGAGGTAAAGAGACCAGTGTAAGGACACACAGCAATAACTAGCTGAGTTGGTCTGGAGGAGGAAATTTTGCTTCTGCTTTGGCAAAACCCCAGGGATCCCTGGAGCGTGGGATCTGCAGGGGTGGTGGTGGTGGTGGTGGTGCTGGGTCTGCCTTGCGGGTGGAAGAGATGTCATCTGAACCTTTACTGTGCTAGCTGTCAGCTGTGTGACTTCACCAGTGACTTCACCTCTGCAGGCCTCAGTTGCCCATCTGTAAAGGGACCACCGGTTCCCTGGGGGCAGGCACTGTGTCTGTCCCTTGATGATCTGTTTTCCAGTGTCCAGCATAGTCTAGGTCTTTGGGGTGCTCTGAGATCCTGTACACAGCTTGGTTAGGACAGAGCTCAGGGCATTAAGAGCTTTCTGGGACTGTGGATTGTTCCTACGCTGTTTGAGAACTGAGGCACAGAGTCTGAAGGCTCTCCTGAGGTCACACAGCCACATCCACAGAGGAGTGGTGGCTTTGCTGTTCAACTGAGCTCTGTGAACCCTAAACTGAGCCAGGGAATATATGGAACCTTGTCCAGGCCGTGGGGAGGGCATTCTGGGCTGAGCTGCAGTCCCAGGGGGTTGCAGACAAGTTGGGCAAGGAAGCTTAGCAGGAGGCTGAGTGCCAGGATGTAGGACTGTCCTGCACTGCTGGTTTGGAGGTACAGAGGCTGCAGCCTGCCCCTGCCCTTTCCCCTGCCCAGGGCTCAGCCACGTGGGCCAAGCCCTGGCAGCCTGAAGGCTCTCGGTCGCCCTCTGCTGGGCTCTGGCTGCCTCTGCTGGGTCACCCCCAGACGCAGTTAAGAGGAGACAACGCTACCTCCTCAGCTTTGCCTGGGCACAAAAATACACCAAGGAAACTCAGATAAGAAGAATGTCCAGTGGATAAACCTTAGTGCCCTCTGCATGGACTTGGGGATACTGGTACTTTCCTCCTCTTGGGGATATAGCTCAGTGGCATAAACATCTGCCTGGCAAGTGGAAGGTCCTGAGTTTGATTCCTGGTACCAAAAAAAACCAAAAAACAAAACCCAAAAAACCTAAACCTCCTCTGGACTGTGAGCTCACGAGGTGTAGGAGTTTGGTTCAGGAGGTTAGAAGTCAAGATTAAGGTGTCAGCAGAATGACTTTTTTCTGAGCCATAAGGGAGAATCTGGCTGAAGCCCCTGGCCTTGTGTCTGGGGGTCCAATGACAATCTTTGGCGTTTCTGAGCTTGCACAAGCACCACCCCCTCTCTGACTCCATCTTCACGTGGCCTTTGCCCTGTGTTCACGACTGGCTACGCATTTTCCCTTTTCTTGAGGACTCAAGGCCTACTGGGTAAGGATCCACCCCAGCACCTCCTTTTATTTGATTACCTCTGTAAAGATCCTGTTTCCAAGGACTAAGACTTCAAAAAGACCCTTCTTTCCCATGAGCGATGCAGGCATGTAATGAAAGGAAATTCAACCTTTGGTAATTATCTGTGGCCTCAGAGTTGTGACAGACAGTGGTTCTAAGCATTTAGGGTACATCTGTTCACTCATTTGCACCCGGAACCATCCCGGCATACTGTTGGTGCTCTATAGATCTCTGTTGAGTGGGTAACTGAATTCATTCCACAGACATTAAGGCTGTCATTTGCTATGTAAATCTGAGCAAGTTATGTCACCTCCGTAAGCCTTCAGCTTCATGAGTAAAATGAATTGATACAGAGCTACCTCCTAGAGTTGTTGACAGGCTGAACTGAATGTACTGCTAATAATAGCAGTTTATGAGGAGCTGCATTGTGTCAAGATTGATACCATCTGAAGACAATGTTTAGTACACGTAGAGCTATTTTTAAGTTGAGAGAAAATTTTCCTAACACAAAATTCACCATTTTAATGCTGAATTCAGTGGTTTTTAACATATTCAAAACATTGTACAACTATTACCACAATCTAATTCTAGAACATTTTTATCGCCCTACCCAAAGTCTATAGCCATTAAATAATTACTTCACTGGCTTCCAACAACTACTGATTTACTTTATGCTTCTATGGATTTGTCTGTTAAAGACACTGTCATGACAAGTGGTATCACTCCACTTATGTCCCATAAATTACACCATGTGCCTGGCTTCTTTAGCACAATGTTTTCAAGGTTCGTACCTGTCATGGTCTGTATCTGTGCTTTGTTTCTTTTTATGGCTGAATAATATTCCACTGAATACATTTTGCTCATCTGTCCAAGCATTTATCCATCAATGGCCCTGTGGGTCATTTGCACTGTCTGACCGTTACAAATAAAGTTGGTACGCACATTCATGTAGAAGTTTTTGTGAGCATACATTCTCAAGTCTCTTGGGTAAATCTTTAAGAGGGTAATACTTTCAGGGTAATTGCCAGACCATTTTCTGGAGCTGTAGGCCCATTTTACATTCCCACTGGCCCCCAAAGAGGCCCCACATTCTCTCCAAATCTTCTACTTCCCCGTCTTTCTAATGAAAGCCATCCCAGGAGTGCAAAGCTGTACCTTACTGTGATTTTGATTTGCATTTCTCTAATGGCTAATGTCAGCATCTTTTCGTACTCTTATTAGTTTTCTTGTTTTGGACATGGTCTTGCTTTGTAGTGCAGGCTGGCCTTGAACTCACTATGTAGCCCAGGCTGGCCTTGGACTCACAGCAAACCTCTTGCTTCAGCCTCCCAAGTGCTGGGCTTACAGGCATGTGCCACCATGCTCTTTATTGGCCCTTCGAGGAATGTGTTCTTTACATTTCACAGCGGAGAAAACAGATTTAGAGAGCTGAAGAAAATTGCTCCATCCAAGAAGGTCTTGGGTGTTAATGTCTCAGAAGCAACGCGGTGCCACTTTAACATTAACAATGCTTCTGATCTAGGAAGCTCACGTGGAGGCTGGCGCAGTAGCCTTAGATAAATTCTTTACGGGCTCCCGCCGTCAGTTTTTCCTCCGCAACACTTGAGGCGGTGTGTGCCAAGCACATCTCGGCCTCTCTAGGAAGCGCAAGCTCTATGATAAGTCGCTCCCTCGCGAAGTTTGCCCCGCCCCCTTCAGACCAGATTCCCCCGGGGCGCCGGAAGTGCCCGGCTCTTTTTGTTGGCTTCACCCCCGGCCCGGAAATACTTTGTTGGGAAGATGGCGGCTGTGTCGGTCTATGAGCACCCGGTTGGAGGTTTCTCGTTTGATAACTGCCGCAGGTGCGGCTATGTTCGGGGCGGGAGTGGGGGTGGGAGTGCGGTGGCGGGGTCGGAGCTGGGTCACGACTTGGCTGGGAAGTGAGAGCGAAGGGTGGATGGCGGAGCCCGCGACCCGTGTGACTCAGGGGAATTAGGGCCTGAGCGTGGGTTTGTCCTGAGGCCGAGTCTGTCCTCTCGCTTTCCCATTGCTCTGGGAGCTTGTCTCGGACCCTTTAGACTAGTCGCAGCCCCCCTCTGGGACTGTCTACGTTGAAAGTCGGGGCGAAAGTGCTGGAGGTAGGAGGGTTCAGTGAACAGATGGAGGTGAAAGCGAAGAACTTTCCCGAGTTCCCTGTTCGGCGCGCTGCGTGTCGGTGCGGCGCAGCGGGGGTCTTACCTTCAACTCAGCATTTTCACATTTGCTCTCAGGAATGCCGTCTTGGAAGCCGATTTTGCAAAGAAGGGGTTCAAGCTTCCTAAAGCCCGGAAAACTGGCACTACCATTGCGGGGTTGGTCTATAAGGTAAGCAGGACAGGCGGACAGCAGCCGTGGTACTTGATACCAGCACCCGGACTCCTGTATCTCTCAGCTGGGTCGGGAAGAGCAGGTGTTAGGAGCACATCAGGAAGAAAGGTCTTTTAGGAGAGACAGCTTTTGTCCGAAGGTTTTGTGCGCTTAACAGTTTATGTTCTTCGATGACTTTGCGGTTTTTGACAGGAGGGCGATTTGCTTTTTCTTAAGTTACTTTAGGAAACTGGGTGATGTAATGGGACAGCACAGAATTGGGATCCGACACGTCTAACCATTGAATGCTTTTATATTGCTTCCAACTTGGGGCAGCTCACTTTTCTTCTCGTAGCTGTACCTTCTCCATCCATCAAATGGATGTAACCCCTGTCCTAAGAGTCAAAAGAGATGATTAATGCTGTTGCACATGAAGTGGGACCCTCCCCCCCTTTTTTTTTTGAGACGGGGGTCTCACCAGGTAGTTGAAGCTGACCTTGAACTCACTATGAAGTCCAAGTTAGCCTGGAACTCGTGGCAATTCTTCTGCCTCAGCCTCCCAAGTACTGGGACTACAGGTATGTGCCATCACACTTAGTATGACACATTTTTAAAAATACAAATTGACAGGTGATATTGTAAGATTTCTGAGTCTTAATCTGATTTTTTTAAGATTAGCTGTGATTTGTGAAGAATTCACTGAATCTCAACCTTATTTGAAAATAGAAATGATGTCCGATCACCATACCACAAGGATACCGTCAGTAATATTTATTAGGAAACCTTTCCTTGATTCTAAGAGTTTGGGATATTTTTGGCTTAGGGTATCAGATCGTGGGAGCAGCAAGGTATTGGCAGGATTGTTTTCCCTAAGTAGCATAGAGGACTGTGGTTTATGTATGTAAACTTGTTTAAAACTTTTTTATGTTTTTTCTGGTAATAGGATGGCATAGTTCTTGGAGCAGATACACGAGCAACTGAAGGGATGGTTGTTGCTGACAAGAACTGTTCAAAAATTCACTTCATAGCGCCTAATATTTAGTAAGTATTGATTAGTTTGGGTAGTTCTTAAGTTTTCAAACCTGTTGGAGCTAAAATCGAACATCTGTCCTCACTAAACCTTGTTGTTCAGCCATTGTTTTCTGTTTCCCTTAAATGGCATTTACACCTGTTACCTAAGCAGTTGTCTTCAAGTTCTCTTTGCTTCAGTCTCCAGTTCAGTTGGCAGCCAGTTCTGCCTTCTGTGTGCCTCTTGAATCTATTCCTTGCTATTCTTCCCTCTGCTAAGACCTTTGTTTGGGTTCTGTTTTCTTAGTTGTACTACTGCAGTTGTCATTTAATTGGCTTCTGCCTCTGGTCTTTGCTCCATCTTATTGTTCATTCTTCTGCTATGGTGGACTTCGTAAAACACAGATCTGCTAATTCTTCTTTTTATTAAGAAGTTTTTGAGAGACTTTCCACATTTCACACAGGATAAAAATTGAAAATCTGTAGCATGATATTTAAGGCCTTGTATAATCTCTCAAAAAGTTTGCCTTTTAGGCTTTTCCAGATGCCATTACCCCATTCTTGAGTGACACCTGTACTGTCCCCATGGCTTTTATGCCTCAGTGTCCCTGTTTGTGTTATCACCAGGCCATTTCTGCTTATGCCAGGCTTTAGGCTTAGAAATGCCCTTTGTTTTTCTTAGCGTGTTTTTATTTTTTCATAACCAGCTCATATGAAACCGTTTTTTTTTTTCTTTTTGATTTTTTGAGACAAGGTCTCACAATGCAGTGCAGGCTGGCCTTGAACTCAGTATATAGCCCAGGGTGGCCTGGAACTCATGGCAGTCGTCCTGCCTCAGCCTTCCAAATGCTGGTAGTACAGGCATGCACCACCATGCCCAGCTGAAACCTTTTCTTAAGTATCAGAATAAATTGCACTCTCTAGTTTCCCATAGCATTTTGTACCTGTGCTACTATATTGTATTATATGGTGTATTAATAATTTTTGTTGGGCCGGGGGTATAGCTCAGTGGCACAAGCACCTGCCTGCGAAGCGCAGGGTCCTGAGTTCAAGGTTCTGAGTTCAATTCCTGGTACCACCAAAAAAATTTTTTTTTGTCTACTTGTGTATCTCCTGCTCAGTTTTGAAATTAAGGATGCAGATTGTCATATTTTCTTTATTGCATGTCCTTGGTATAGTGACTGGTACCTGGTAGTGAATACTTGGTAGATGATAAATTGCAAGACTTTAACACACCTTGCTTTTTTATACAACTTGGATATATTTGTAGTATTACTAAAATGTGCGCTGTGTTAGAGGAATAGAAATCAATGATTTGAAATATTCCATTGGGTCGTAGAGACTGTATTTGTGTGTAATTAGATGTATATTCTCTATTTCATGTTTACGGTTGCTAGACAGAGCAATTTTATTGCACATGTATTTAAAACGCACTTTGGAAATTGTCCAAGAAGCTTCACTTCTAATTGAGCCTCTAGGTAATTGGATGTCACCTAAGTTCCTCATTGTATTTTTCAGCTGTTGCGGTGCTGGGACAGCTGCAGACACAGACATGACAACGCAGCTCATTTCTTCCAACTTGGAGCTCCACTCCCTCACCACTGGGCGCCTTCCCAGAGTTGTGACGGCCAATCGGATGCTGAAGCAGATGCTTTTCAGGTACAGTTCCAGGACAGTGTTTTCTGTAGCATCTTTTTCTTCTATCTTAGATTCTCGGTCAAGGGAAGCTTGGAAGCTAGGGAAAAAGCATTCAGAAGTACGTTTTATTCCAGATACCAGTGGTTATTAAAAAGCCTTTTTTTTTTTTTTTGAGACATGTTCTTACTATGTAGTTCAGGCTGACCGTGAACTCACTATGTAGCTTAGGTTGGCCCTGAACTCGTGATCCTCCTGTCTCTAGAGTACAAAAACCTATTTTAATTTCATAAGGCATTTGATAATGCATTTGAATTTATAGAGTCTGATTTTTTTTCTGCCCCAGATTAAATCACATGTGAAAAATTAATTCCCTGCAGCAGAGGGATGCTGTTGTTTTAGTCACTTGTTGCTGTGACAAAATACCCACATCTAAAAGAAGAGGTTGATTTTTGGCTCACTTCAGTCCGTAGTCAGCTGGCTCTAAGGCAGGGTGGCATGGCACAGGGACAGAGGAGTGGATGCTCTTCTCATGGTGGTCAGGAAGCAGAGAATCAAGGGTGGAGCTGGAAAGAGAGATAAGCCCTTCCGGGTCATGTCCACAGTGACCCCTCTGCTAACAGCAAGTTAGCTATGAGCCCACATAATCTAATCACCTTCCAAACACTTGAAGCATTGGGGGCCATTTAAGGTCTAAACCATAACAATTGGATAAGAGAAACTTTTTGCTCATGGCAAGGAATTAAGAGCTGGAGGAACCTTTGAGTTTGTCCTACAAATCTTACCCTCCCACCCCCAACACACAAACACTAGTGACTCTTTTCCTCTCTCTTTTAGGAGCAAAATAATGCAGTAAAAAGTCATACTTGTAGTTGTTTGTGAGTGGGTATAATGATATTGATAATTAACCAGCCTTTATCTCTTTCTCAGTTTCACACCTTCCTTTAAAATACTTTACGTATTATCTCTCAGAGAGGGGCTGTTTGTTACCACCTCCTATTTCTAAATGAATAAATGAAGGCTTTACTGTGGAGATGTAGTGACTTGGCTGGCCTGACCTCGCCCTACCCTCTGTGACCTAATATGAGTAGTTTTGTCTTTTTCTCCTTGAATATCATCATTACTTTGTGTATGTCTTGACAGTTTTGGAAACTTAAGTCTGCTTTCTCACTCACGCTACATAAGAGAGGCAGTGTATTATAGTGGATACAGCCTGGGCATTTATTCTTGGGTTTGAAAACTGGCTTTTCTTTTTGGAATTTGCTTCACCCTTAGCATATTCTCTACTTTTTTCCATATGTGTGAAATGGACATCATGATATCTGCCCCAGGGGTTGTTGTGAGACTTAAAGGGAAGCAGAAATAGAAAGCAAAGAGTATGAGCTGGTAGCTCATAGGCCACTGGCCTTAGAGGAGTTCTTTAAGTCATGTGACATTTTTAAAAAAAGTAGCCAAAAATTATAAATTGGGAAATTGGAATTTGAAATTCTGGATTTTTGGCTTCCTTTGAAAAAGTTCAAAAAGAGGATGGGATCACACATGGCGATAACCTGAAACAGTGGTCGATGGCACTATCAGTGGGAATATGCTCGGTTGTTACAGTCTCTGCCTGCCTTAGTTTGCTGTTTCTTACACGGTCTTTGCCTTCGTAAGAATTTGCAGGTCATCATCTACATCTCTAGCACAGGCCTACTTCTCAGTAGTATGTATGCAGCTGATAGTACTGTACATAGTTTTCATTTTACAGATGAGAAAACCAAGGCCTAGAGTCATCTGGATAGGAAGCCTACCGAGTCTACTTGAGTCCTGCTCTGGCTTGGCTATGCTAAGCCCTTTGTATATACAGCTGTCATCCTATTCCAGGAGAATTCTTGCCAACCAAATAAATTCTTCCAGCCTATTAAGATTTCTGAAGACATTTTTGAATTTTAACTTTAAACACAAAGCTCCCTCTTGTGCCTTATATAGTACATTACATATAAAGCTTTTTTTTGTTTGTTTTTTGAAACAGGGTCTTGCTATGCAGTTCTGGCTGGCCTTGAGCTTACTATGTAGGCCCAGGCTATTCTCAGTCTCATGGGGATCTTCCTGCCTCAGCCTCCCAAGTACTGGGATAAAGCAATTTTTAAACCTGTAAATTGCCACAAATAAGAGTAAGATTCTGTGCAATGTTGTTTAAAGCATTTTACAAAATAATTTAGCAAAATATATGAAGTAATCACTTTGAATGTTTTAGGAACTCTAAAGTCTCTTACATTCAGCATTTAATCATTTTTAGTTGAATATACTTTTTTTTTTTTGGAGACAGGGTCTTGCTGTGCAGTTCAGGCTGGCCTTGAACTCACTTTGTATCCCAGGCTGGCCTTGAACTTGCAGCAATCCTTTTGCCTTAGCCTTCTAAGTGCTCAGATTACAGGTGTGTGCCACCATGCCTGGCTTTTGTCAGTTTTGAGAGGAACATTTACAAATTTAACTAGGATGATGTAGTCCTTTATGTCCTGAGATATTTTTGGTGAGTTACATAAAATGAATCAGAGTGGTGTAGAGGAGAAAGGCCTAGGATTTGACTTCAGCACTTAGCTTAAGTCCTGTCGACAGCATTGCCAGCCATGTGACTTGGCAGTTCACCTCACCATTCTGAGCCAGTTTCTAAGGGCATCTGGTAATTTTTGTCTCTTGACTTTTTTTTTTTTTGTTTTTGTTTTTTGTTTTTCTCCGGTACTGGGAACCGAACTCACGACCTTGCGCTTGCCAGGCAGGCGCTTTGCTGCTGAGCTAAATCCCCAGCCCTTTGTCTCTTGACTTTTGAGGGGGAAAGAAATAAAGAGGTAAGGCTATGAGAGTGACTAGTATAGACCTGGACATATTAAGACATACTTCTCCATACCTTGTATACTATACCTCTGGTCTCATATTTGTGCATTAACAAGAACGGCATACCACTGTGTGCTTCTAATTTAAGCTGCTCACATAATGGTAGTGTGCATATTGTTCCTGTTAGTAGATGTAATCAGAATCGGGAGTTCCTCCTTGAGCCAGTGGAGTTCTAGAGGCCTAGAGTCTCCTAGAATAGGAAAAACTTATTATGGGGGAGGATTCCAGAGTTGTTTTTTTTTTTCCCCCCAGAGTTTTAATCAGTATTTCAAAGGGGTCTGTGACCCGTAAACTTTTAAGAACCATTGATCACTCTTACAACAATTGGTGCTGTCACATTACATTTTGTAGATGTGTTATAGTGTAACCACCTTTTGAACATTAAGGTATTATGAGATATTCTCTAAATTCTTTGGGTCATAGAACCTTTGGGTGCTTGTCTAATTAACTCACTAGGTTATATTCTACGGTATATTCTTGGGTCCAGAAAAAATTCAGACAAGCACATTTAACTTTTGGTACTGGGGATTGAGCTTGCCATTAAACTACATCCTCAGCTCCTTTTTATTTTAATTTAATTTTAATTGATTGATTGATAGTTTTTTTGAGACAGGATTTCACTATGCAGTTCAGCCTGGACCTGAACTCACTATGTATCCGAGGCTGCCCTCAAACTCATGGTGATCCTCCTGCCTCAGCCTCCCAAGTGCTGGGATTATAGGGGTGCATCACCACACCCAGCCCTCAGCTCTTTTTAAATTTAATTTTATTTTGAGACAGGATCTTGCTAGATTGTCTAGACTGACTTAGACTTGTAATCCTGCTGTGTTAGCCTTCCCGGTAGCAGGGGTTAGAGTCATGTGCTCTTAGCTCCATTTAACATTTTGGTACACATAGTCAGAACTGTCTGTGAGAAAGGTGCATTAGGTTGTACTGCCATTGATCAGAGTGAGGATAATAGCGTGATTGTTAATGATTATGTAGTATTGTGTTGTATAGCTCTCTAATTTATTTAGCCATCTCTATTTCTAGTTTTTTACCATCATAAACCATGCTGTGGTAAACAACCTTTTGCAATCTTTTTTGTAAATTTGTTTGATTATATTCTTAGGCTTGTTAGTTTGTTTCTTGAGATTGAATCTAGGGCTTTGCATATCCTGGGCAGTTGCTCTGCCTTTGAGCTATATAACCCTGGCCCTTCAGATCTGTTTTTCACGATTTTAGCCAAAATATGTTAAGATTCTTTTAAAGAATATAACATCAAATAGGTTTATTTTAGCGTGGAAGGAAACTGGCTGATTGTTGACTTTATTAAACATTCTGCTTAGTAGGCAGTGGAAGGGGTGCTGAATTGGTTGGGGGCAGTGGGCCTGGGTGTTCTAACTTCTCATCCCAGGGTCCTGGCCTCCAGTCTTGAGTTCAGGTCGCTTTAGAACAGTTATGTACTTCCTCTGTCTGAACCTTTGATCCTTCTTTAGGTTGCTTCTGAAATCCTTCCCTGTTCTTGATTTTTTTTCACTTAAAAGTGAAAAATTCTTTCTGAAATAACAGTTTGGTAATCAAGGAACCAGGGAGCTCTTGGACTTGACTGTTGTGTTTACTGAGAGAGTTCCTTGATGTGTACCTGTTTTCACGCAGCCTGAAGTTATGATTTTAGTCTTTCGTGTTTATTGGTTTCAGTGTTTATGATTATATCACATGGCAAGTTGGATTCATTTTCTTAAAGAGCTAAAGATTCACAGTGGAGAATTTTATATCCACTGTGTTTCTCTAGCATAGCAATTCCAGTAGTAAAAAATAGGACCAGCTACACAAAAGGAATATATAGAAGTGGTAAACCAAGCAAGGAGAAAGTCCAAAAGGAACAAGTACATGGTGCATTTACCCTGAGGTGGGATGAAACATGTCCTGTGTCAACGTTTCTAAAGAAGCAGAGCTCTAACCAGTGGGTCAGCAGTTGTTTTATTGTCATGGAGTTACTCATGTCCTGAATGAGGAACTGTTCCACCTTTGTTCAGTATAAGCTCCTGTCTGTGATTAGAATTTAGTGAAGGTGCTCAAAGGAAAAGGTGTTTAGACAGAAGCTTCTTTGCTGTCAAGGCTGTGATCAGGTTGGTTTTAGGACAGCTGAGTGGCTGAGCTTAGCAGCTCCAGATTGTTAACTCTGAAGGTATGATAGCAAGGTGCTAATGTTTTTTGGTGTGAGCCAGCCTTGGCTGTGAGACACAAGCAACTACTTAGTGTCTCTGGCATGGTTCTCTCTTCTCTAGTGGCAAAGATAATGCCCTCTCTGGGCTGAACTGAAATGAGGTATGTGGAGCGTCTCACCAATTTATGGTGGCTCGTTGTAGATGTTCTCTTAATGTTATTTGCCTTCCCCTTTCGGTTCCCAACAAAACAATAACTCCTTAATGAAACAGTCAAGCCTTTTGTTGTTTGACTTCTTGTGCAGCTTTTGCTTAAATTACAGTGATGCTGTGTAGACTCACGTTTTTCTCCTATGCACATTCTGATCACCAGGTATCAAGGTTACATTGGTGCGGCCCTAGTTTTAGGGGGAATAGATGTTACCGGACCTCACCTCTACAGCATCTATCCTCATGGATCAACTGATAAGTTGCCTTACGTCACCATGGGTGAGTGCAGTGTTTCCTTGTATTTCAGAATCCTTATTTACCAGTTTAGTCTCTTGAGGGCTGGTCTTCCTGTTGAAGGAGGCAGGGCATTATAGTTCTTTGATTCATTCAGCAAATATTTAATGGGTTCCCACTATGGATTACATTTGGCATATAGCAGTGGACAAAAACTAGATAAAGATTCCTGCCTATAAAAGTGTGTTTGTAGTATTTTGGAAAGTGATAAATAGTAGGAAGAAGAAAAGTAATACAGGTGCTCTAGTTATGTAAGATGCACCTTTGCAGGGAAGTTGGGTTAAGGGTATATGGTAACGCTTACTTCTTACATCTGTGTATGGATGTACAGTGATCTGAAAACTAAAAGTTAAAAAATTTCCAGCAGGATTAAGGGGACCTGGGCGGGGTAGGCAGGAGGAAAGCAAGGGGCAGATGGCAGAGTGAAGTTGGAAAGGTGGAGTGGATGCTGCCCCTGTGGCCATGCCTGGTACCTGCAGAGAGGTTTTTTAAGCCACAGTGACTGGGGTCCCACTTTACCATTTACTCTCTGAGGAATTGTGGCTGTTTGTTCCCTTCCTGAACCTTCATTTCCTCACCTGTGAAATATTGTCAACAACACCTACACATCAGGTTGTTGTAATGATTAGAAACTCTGTAAACCATCTGCTGTAGTGCCTGACCTACAGACAACAATAAATCTTTTTTCACATCAGCTTTTCATGCTTGTATATTTTTTTATTGTTTTTGTTTTTTGAGATGAGCTTCACTACATAGTTCAGGCTGGCCTTGAATTTACTGTATAGCCCCAAGCTGGCCTTGAACTTGTGGTGATCCTCCTGCCTCAGTGTGTGGAGTGCTGGGATTACCAGCATGCACCACCACCACACCTGGCTTGTGTTTTTGAGACAGTCTTGCCATAGTTTTCAGGGTGATCTTGAACTTGAGATCTTCCTGCCTCAGCCTCTCATATAACTGGGATTACAGGTGTACACCGCTGTGCCTGATTTAAAAAAAAGTTAAAATTATATGTAGAGGAATTGGGATTTTCAGATTCTAATCAAATTGTATAGTTTGAGAAATGTGAACAGTCGTGTAGCTGATGTTTCCCAGCTGTTGTTTACTGCTTACATTTTGCCTTGGTGTCTTGCCTCTGAAGCTAGGAAGACTGCTTCCTTGAAAAGCTCGAAATTGCCAGTTTGAGACTTTGCTATCCCATTGTGTTATGTAGCCTCTTCTAAGGGTTCTACAACAGATGTTACCTGTTTGTCAGGGAGAGTGATTTACTCTTAGATACCATATGGATGGATCTTTGTAATTATTTTAAAATGATGATATTCAAGTAATTTAGTAATTGCTCTGAATTGCTTTATTCAAATGTTTTTATTCACGTTAAAGTTTCCATGTATTTCCATTGTTTTTATTTCTCCCCGTTTAATACCTTTAGGTGGTGGTAAAAGAATAACCTATTAAGTAGTTTTATTATTTTTTATTTGAAAAATTCCAGGCTTGCAGAAAAGTAATAGTAATGGAATAATGTTACATTCCCTTTACTTGGATTTGTCAGTTCTTAGCATTTTACTGCATTAGCTCTATCTTACACATATAGTATATGACATTATTATTATTGTTACGTTATTTTTTTGGTACTGACAGGACCTTGCAAAGGCTTGCCAGGTACACACTTGCTTGTGCTGCTGAGCTGTACCCCCAGCCCTTTTTTTTTTTTTTTTTTTTGGGTTTTTCTCCGATACCGGGAACCGAACTCATGACCTTGCACTTGCCAGGCAGGCGCTTTGCCGCTGAGCTAAATCCCCAGCCCCCCCCCTTTTTTTTTTTTAATGGAACCATTTGAGAATAGCAGACACCATTCCTTCCACATCTGAACTCTTTAAAAGTTCTCTTCTGTCATCTCAATAAAGTCATCAGTTTCGGGAAATCTAACATTGATACAAAGCAATTTCATGTTTTATTTTTATTTTTTGTTTTTTGAGATAGGATCTGGCTGTGTAGTTCAGGCTGACCCTGAACTCATTATGTAGGCCAGGCTGGCCGTGAGCTCAAAATGATCTTCCTGCCTCAGCCTCTTGAGTACTGGGGTTGCAGGCGTGCACTGCTGTGCCCAGCAGCAGTTTCGTTTTTAAAATAGGAAAATCGGATTTCTTTTGCTTTCGAGTTGTGGTGGTTTGTCTTATGATCGTAACACTAAATATAGGAAGAGCTGTGCAGAGTGAGTGGTGGCACTGATGTGAGTGCTCATTTCCCTGCTGTGGCCCCACCTGGCCCTGCACTGGCCCTCAGTCACCTCGTGCCTCTCCATGTCCAGTCTGGGTTCCAGGTGAACACTTCTTTTTAGAACCACTTCACACAGTCTGCTCTTGCTCTCCCCTCCCCTCCCCTCCCCTCCCCTCCTCTCCTTTCTCCTCGTTTCTTTCCTTTTTTCTTAGTATAGGCTGGCTTTGAATGCATTGTGTAGCCCAGGCTGGCCTCCCAGCTCACAGCGATCCTTCTGCCCCAGCCTCCCTAGTGCTGGGATTACAGGTGTGCACCACCACGCCTGGCTCTCTTCATACATGCCCATCCCTCTTAAAGTCACATAATGAAGTCACACTATATGTTAGGTTTCTCACTTAGGAGGAGTGTTTTCAGGAGGTTTTAGTGTCAGTGTACGTAGGTACTATTTGTGGATTGATGGGTATGTATAATTGCTTCAATCAGCTGTAGCCTGCTTTACTGACTTCTCCTCATGATGAGTATTTTGATTTTCCAAGCTTTACAACAAATGTATCTTTCTCTGCTTGTAGAAATACACTGAGGTAGATTCCTAGTAGTGAAATTTCTGAGTTAGGTTATGTTCAAGTTCTGGCCCCTCTCACTGTGCAAGAACTCCTTCCTGGAAAGGGTGAGCACGCCTGGTTGGTGAGCTCAGCCTCCCACTCGGGCGGGGAGGCATGTGCTCCCCAGACATAGGAAGGAAGTACAGCTGCTGGGCAGCCCTCACCAAGTGACAGATGGCAAGCCATACAGTGCATTTTACCTTTTGAGAGCTGTTGCCAAGTTGCCCTCCAAAAAGATGGCACCAGCTTACTCTCCACACAGAGAACATGAGGCCTTTCTCGTGCAACCATACCAGCAAGGGTATTTTTGCCAGTTTGATGAGGGAAAAATGGGAAGTAACACTGAAGCTGAGACCAGAATCCCTGCTCCTTGGAGTTGCTGGGGTCAGCAGGAGGGTGAGCAGGAGCAGTGCTGTGTGGGGCAAGAGTTCCAGACAGGGGCACTAGCAGAAGCAAACCTGGAAGGGATGAAGCCCGGTGGATGGTGTAAGGGTGGAGCCAAGGCACACAACTGGAAAACGAGGCCAGACAGGGTCCAGATGCTGCAGGCTGAACTGTTATGATTTTGTCCTGGGGCTTCCTAGCTAAAGTTTTGGGGCAGGCAATGATAGGATGAGATTTTGCTTGTTAGAAAGAACTGGCTTTCATTTTCTGTACCTTTCCAATCCAAGTCCCTTGTGGAAAGGAACACTTTACAGAGAATGTAAAGTAAGGTTTCTGCTGTCCTGGGCTTTGTCTCTGTGACTCTTGGAGATTCTCTTAGCCAAGGTTCACTGCAGTAGTAGCTGTGTAGGGCTGCATTGGCCTGAAGGAGGCTGGGATAGGGAGGAAGGTCACATCCTGGCCACAGTTGTTGAGGGATGGTCCCTGTTACTACAGAGAGTGCCTGCAAGCATTCAGCCCACAGGCCGGGTCCTGGGTCCCTAGCAGCGGTTCTCTGCTTCTTCCTCAGCGCCAGCTTTCCGGTAGCTCTTGGCTGTGGTTCCAGTAACTCCAGCACCTGGGCTGCCTGCTTTTCCAGTTGGGCTTTGAACCCCTTTGCCCGTCTCTTTCCTGCTCTATCTCCACTTGTACCCTGGGCTGCTGCAGCCACAGTCCTTTGCCCTCCCCAGACTTGCACAGCTTCTGCTGCCAGCTGCCTGTTGGTAGTGGCTTTTCTGCCTGAAGTGTCCCCTCATGACCTGAGGTCTAGCCCTAAACCACTCCCTGCTGGCTGTCGTGGCTAGTGAGGCAGGTCCTGATTCCACAGCTCCAGCCTTGGCCAAACTCTCCTTTTTCCCAGCCCTCCTGTCCCTAAGAGTAGAATCTGCACCTTCCCCCCAGACTCCTGTGACTTGGTGAATATGTGATGGTGAATTAATTTTCTGATTCTCTAACTTGTTTATGTCGAAGAATGTCTGGAATTAGTGTTAGCAACCTTAGTGCAGTTTATTGTGAGCCCAACAGTTCACAGTCTCCCTGGAGGAGAAGTGGTTTAGATTGTGCTCTATTTGTGTGGCCCAGTTTAGCTCTAGAACAGCACAAAGCATTGTTTATGTGATAGGTCCTTTTTTGGTTGTTGTTGAAGCTTGGTGTTATTTTAAATTTAAAGCATATTTATGCAGCGTTTCTGTGCCAGAGTCCGCTGGGTGCTGTCACATTATTTTCAGCTAACATTCCATGCAAAGGATTCTGTTATTGCTATTTTATTGATGAGGAACCTGAAGCTTAGAGAGATTTAGCATTTTAGCTTTTTTTTTTTTTTTGCATTGTAGCTATTATCACTCAGCCTGAAAGTAGCGAAGCTGGGATTTGAACCTTTGTCTCCCTTTTCAAGCAAGCCCCAGTACAATATACCTGCAGTGATTTTATCATCTCTCAGATGTAATTTCATTAAGCTATTAAATAAATCGTGCTTCAAAAGACTAAAAATATCCAAATTCCTAAAGGCCATTTTTTTTTTTTTTGTATTTTTGATTACTTTGTGTGTAGATTTTCTATCCTAAATGTTAAAAACAGTATTTACTGAGACAGCTTTATAGTGTGAAAGGAAATTTTAAAAATTTTTCACAATTCTATGACCTAAAGACAACATGATTTTCATTTTCTGTTTCTTTCCGGTCCAAGTCTGTTCTGGTGAGGCGAGCTTCGCACAGAATGTAAAATGCAGTTTATACTGCCCTGGGCTTT